ACAGATAAACTGTGGTCATTCAGATGTTAATATTTGGCAGACATTTTCTTGAAAATGAGTGAAGTGAGCCTGTCATTTCACAGAAGACTACTGATAGTATTTGCCAATGCTAAAATTTGAACTTTCATGTAAAAATTGGAATTTTGGAAAACTTGTACTCACCACTTGTACCACTAAGTGTAGCTTCTCTACACTTAAAGGATTTTCTTTTGAGATGGGTAGTGATGTTAATGAATGTAATTTTTTAAAAGTACTGTATGATGAACTCTGTTGATATTGGAAAGATCCACAAAACTTAGTGAGCCAGTATTTTCCATGTAACCAATGCATGACATTACAAAATCATGTCTGAGTAGATCCATTCAAAGGGCAACACAGACCAATGGATTTTAACGTACCAGAATCTAAAAGATTATTCATAAGCTTTTGGATACACATTGTGCACAAACCTTATCAAACTATCACTTGTTGAATTTTGGTATAGTATCAAAAAAGGCTACCTTCTCCAGTTACATAGCTGTGTTAGGTTGGCGTTTCTTCATATGTTTTAACCAAAATAACATATTGCAACAGATTTAATGTAAAAGTGTATCAGAAAATCCAACTGTCTTCTATTAAGTCAGATATTAATGAGATTTTTAAAAAGTAAAATAAAAAAAAAGTAAAATAAAGCCTCTATTTTCACTGTTTTTTAATTTAAATACAGCTACTTTTAAAAATGATATGTTATACATGTTATTTAATGAATTTATTGCTATTTTTAAATCAAATAAACATTTTGAAATTTTTCCAAAACAAATTATTTAAAATTCTTATTTATTTTTTTGTATAGATAGGGTCTCGCTATGTTTTCCAGACTGGTGTTGAACCCCTGGCCTCAAGTGATCCCTCCCCACCTTGCCTCCCAAAGCACAGGGATTACAGGCATGAGCCACCACACCTGGCCTCAGTAATTTATTTTTTAGACAGAGTCTCACTCTGTTTTCCGGGCTAGAGTGCCCTGGTGTCAGCCTAGCTCACAGCAACCTCAAACTGCCCTGCTCAAGCGATCTTTTTGCCTTAGCCTCCTGAGTAGCTGGGACTATATATAGGCATGCGCCACCATGCCAGGCTAACTTTTTCTATATATTTTTAGTTGGCCAATTAATTTCTTTCTATTTTTAGTAGAGACAGGGTCTCACTCTTGCTCAGTTCAAACTCTTGACCTTGAGCAATCCTCCCGCCTGGGCCTCCCAGAGTGCTAGGATTATAGGCATGAGCCACCATGCCTGGCCTGGCCTCAGTAATTTTTAAAGAGTGTAAAGGGTCTTGAGACCTAAACATTTGAGAATTTCTGTGTTAAGTAAAAGGCACATTGTAGTAATTCATCATGTGATGATTAAGAGTGTTTCCTGTAAGCTGTTGACGTTATGTTTAAATATTAATTTCTGGTGAACTTTGTCAAGTTTTACACTTTAATAGTCCAGAAATATTCATTCAACCAAGGAGCTTTTAATTCTTCCTGAATGCATAGATAATGCTACCCAGGTACTGTGTTAGATACAAAAGATGGATTCTATCTCACTACCTGTATTCTAGACGCTTAGAGTCCCAAAGGAGATAGAGGTATGAGATGTCCAAATTAGTCAGAGTAGAGTACCATCTTCTAATAGCGAGGTATGAACCACAAAGACTGCTTTCAAGAAGGGAAGTGGTAAAGTGCAGGGGCTGGGGGGCGGGGCACGGATATTTTATGAAGGGAGGAGGACTCAGATTGTTAAGTTAATGCCAGGTACAGCTGGATGCTGGCAGTTCCCCATCAAGCCTACTTCTTGTCTTTCACTTTTGGTTCATATTCTGACAGTTTTTCTGCTAGATGCATCCATTTTCTCTCATGGGATATGTTGCTATCTACTTTTTTATACCGTGGACTTGAAAAGTATTTATGCCATTTATTTTATGGTCTGTAGTTCCTGGATATGGTAGGCTAATGCCATTGTCTGCACTTTAGATCCTAATCCTGCTGAAAAATAACTTCGTTGTTTTCTTTGCAACAAAACCCTGATATTTAAAAGTTGCATATGATTTTAGAATACTTTTGTCATAAAGAGTGATTTTTTTTTTTTTTTTTTTGAGACAGAGTTTCGCTTGTTGCCCAGGCTAGAGTGAGTGCCGTGGCGTCAGCCTAGCTCACAGAAACCTCAAACTCCTGAGCTCAAGCAATCCTTCTGCCTCAGCTGCCCGAGTAGCTGGGACTACAGGCATGCGCCACCATGCCCGGCTAATTTTTTTTTATATATATTAGTTGGCCAATTAATTTCTTTCTATTTATAGTAGAGACGGGGTCTCGCTCTTGCTCAGGCTGGTTTCGAACTTCTGACTTCAAGCAATCCACCCGCCTCGGCCTCCCAGAGAGCTAGGATTACAGGCGTGAGCCACCGTGCCCGGCCATAAAGAGTGATTTTTAAATAAGCTTTTAAGAAGTTTCTTTGTTTTACTTTTGTGTTTTATAACCTACTTACCTTATTAGTATTCTTTCTTGATATGAACCTAGAGAAACAGTTTTTAATTTAGTCTCTTAAAATACCCCAACATATTTTTTTTGTTTTACTTGTATCATTATTAGTATATTAATAATTATTTGCCTCTTATTTTTATAGAAATAAGTGGAATATAAGTAGTTTTACTCAACAAAATATTTGGGGGTTTATTTTTATTATGACAGATTATATGTTGAGCTAAACATGATAATATTGGCTTATTGAAATAAAAATGAACTAGAGGTGTTTGTCCTGGATTGTCAAGGACTTATGTAGCAGTGATGTGGAAATGAATCCATATCTACCACTTGAGAACTCTGGAATAACACCTTCTAGAAGAACCTGAAGGTTGAGCTGTAGGCACAAGTACTGGACAGGCTATGGCTGAAGCTTTCTAAGATGATAAATTTTGATTGGTAGGCAAAAAAGCATTTGGAAAGTATTTAGAAATAAAGGAGGCCACTTTGGGCAGCTTGTTTTGCTCAGAGCTAGTTAGGAAACAGGAAAGGGACAGTTGGGAGGGAAAGAGTGGTAACACTTGAGTGTTTGTTTTTCTTAAAGAAGTACTTACAATTAAAATAGCTTCATGGCTCATATGAATCCTCAGCATACCCCCTAAAACAGCTTCTTCTGTTATAATTCCTATATAAGCCTACGAGAACAATCCATCTTTCAGTTTATTTTTTCAACATGGCATCCCTCTACTAGAGAAATGGAGATCACTCGTATAGGAAAGTCGGCCGCTCATGCAGACTTCTCTACCACTACAGCTCTTCTCTTTCAGCCTGTTGCCTCTGTGTGGTTTTATTCCCACTTGGAGAGTCTTCCTTTTTGCCCTGCTGTTGGCCTTATTATCTCCGTTAGAGGTCACTTAGAACTCTGCCACTTCAATGAGTGTTTCCTCTCCAAACCTGCTTAATTTTGAAACTCCCCTTAGCATTTTTTGTACTGATTGTCTGGAACTGTCATCTGTTTACGAATATAGCGATTGGGTCTACTCTGGTCTTTGGGCATGGTTGCTACCTTCCCAGCGAGATGGTGTGTGAGATTCATGGGGACTGGACCATGTGATGTCGTTGTCTTTGTCGTTATCGTCATCCTCCCTCCTCCTCTTTTTTTTATTACTCTTTTCTTTGTCACATCTACTGTCAACCTTTGCTGAAACAAGGTTCTTCACGAGAAAAATTGTTGCTTTAAGAAAAGAAAGTACTGGACCCAAAGGCCATAAAGGAAATAATAGTTTTCCAAAAATTCTTTAAACAGTTTCAAACATAATGGTGTAGGTATCAGATCCAAGAAAAAAAGCCAAGAGAATGTGCCTCCTCTTGGGTCCTTTGCTTTGCTACGTTCTTCTGTTCAGCCCAAGTCAACAAATTATCATCAAACAGCTGTCATCATTTAAAAGCCATCTCCTTGGCACTGCTGAAAATTCGGTGGTGCCCATAAAACACAAGAAAGTCTTGTCATTGGGCACAGAAAGGGTTTTCCTAAGATAACACACAGATAGTCATGATTCCAAGGTGCAGGGGAGGGCAGGATTTCTTTGTCTACCACTATATACCCAGTCAGTGCCCTGTGCAAGGCCCGGGACAAAACAAAAGACTTTCAACAATATTTTATGAAGGAATGAAAAGAGGAAGACACCACACATTTTAGAGATGGGGGAGAAATGGGCAGGAGATCAAGAAAGGCTTCTTGAAAATCATGGCTTTTAAAGGGAACCTGGCTAGTATGGATTTGGAGCAAAGGAGGGGAGAGTATTTCAAGAGCAGTCAGAGTGGCAGAGACAAAAGGGAGAGAAGCTCTTTTACCTTCTGTGCCTGCTGGGTTCATTCCCTTAATTTTTCATCTCTGTGTATGCTCTACTTTATTATTAAATAAGATCTGTATAATAGTTCATCATTTACCATACACTTAATTCTTGGCACTTACCATCATCAGACCTATTGTTTGTTTATTTTTCCTCAATTAGACTGTAAGTTCCAAGAAGGCAGGGGCAGCATTTTGTTTGTTTCTTTATCCCTAATTCCGAGGGCAATTCCTGCTTTATAGTAGGTACTTAATACCTATTTATTGAATGAATAAATGATTGGCTGAATAACCCAGCCATGTCCTAGGAACCATAGGTTTTCTCATTTATATTTAATAAGGTTTATGGTAGGGTACCCTGAAATGTTTTTGAAAAGAAGAAATGTCTGACTGGGATTGTACTAAATTAATGCCTGCCTCTCTTTCATGAGGCATGAAAGAATGATGGTATAGGAGGATAGACAGGAAGCTGCAGTCACCAGGTTTTTAAAAGGAAAATGTTTTAGAGATGGGTTGGTGGACATGTACAGGGCAACATTAGAAGTAGTGAGGAAACTAATTCTTCCTGAGTTATCCCTCATTTATTTGAAATGAATTACTTTCCTTGAAAAATGTGTCAATGTTTATGTCAGAACTATATTGTGCTAACTTAATCTTCTCTGTTCGTGACAGGAGGCTGAACAGTACCCAGGGGGAAATCCGTGTTGGTCCTAGCCATCAGGTAAAGTAAATATTAGTAGCTCTTTAGGTTTTTATTTCTTATTAGTCTGCTGGCCCTTTATTCTGTTGAGCGACGTCTCAGAATTGTTAATGCTGTAGGGAATTTTGTATAAATTCATTTTTTTTTTTTAGATCACCACATAGTTTTAAAAAAATTATAGTAAAATATACATAATGTAAAATTTACCATCTTAACTATATTTAAGCGTATAGCTCAGTGGCGTTAAGTACATTAATTGTTGTACCCATTAAGCAGTAGCTCCCAATTCCCCACTCCTGCAAGTCCCTGGCAACCACTATCCTGTTTCCTGTATCCATATTTGACTATTCTACCACATATAAGTCCCTCATATGAGTGGAATCATACTGTATTTGTCTTTTTGTGACTGGCTTATTTCACTTAATGACCCCATCGCTCATCCATGTTATGTAATGCATCAGAATTTCCATCCTTTTTGAGTCTGAATCCATCATATGTGTGTATCATAGTTTGTTTACCCATTCATTCATTGGTGAACATTTGGTCACCAAATACTTTTATTAAAAAAGATTTTTAAAACCTCTTTTCCTGCGGGAGAGTCAAGATGGTTAGGATACTTTTCAGTCGGAAGCTTGCTGTGTCATGACCTGTGCCCTTTCATGTTTTATTGAGTTTACTAAGATTGTTCTGTTTTTGATGTCAGTATCAGTTAGGATACTTTGGCAGGATTCTTTCTCAACATGGCTGTTTATGTCTCACATGTCAGGATATCCTGCTCAGGAAGGACCCAGGGCTCTGCTGTGCTTCTCTGAGATTTTCCCCTGTCCTCCATGGTAGCTGAATTTCTCTCATTCTAAGATGCTCTTTTTTCCTTCACATTTTATCTGTGAAGTTGGGCTTCATTGTACATTCTGTGGTGTGATTATAATTCATTGGCCATATTAATTTTTTCTAAATGCATATAAAATAATAATAGATCTTACAATGAATGAAATCAGCAAATAATGAGAAAAAGAAAGAAATCATCCTTCTTTTCCCCTTAGCAAGAAAAATTTCCCCAAAATGTCCTCAGTAGTCCCATATCTTATTGCCATGGATTGGGTCATGTGTCTGTTTCTAAACCATGAGGAAAACAGGTTTAACATGGTTTACTTAGACTATCATTGGAAGTGGAGTGGATGTTAGGGAGTCAACAACTATGACTATCCTATCTAGGTACATGAGATACAGGTAGCAGCAAGCATTGTAAGGGCATAGAGGTGGTCTGTCTAGTTATTCATTTTTCTATCTAGATATTAAGTACTTCCTATATGTCATTCACATTCTTAGAGAACCTATTTTTAACTCATAATAAAAAAGAAGTGAAGGGATATTAGAACTAAAATACAGAAACCATCAGGAGCATATAATTTCTAGAAGACACTTCTCATTCCAGATTTGGAATTATTATAACTGATATTATTAACTGATACAGGCAGAAAGAAGCTGCAAGAGGACACTTGACTTAATGTCTACTTTGTTCAAGTATAGCCTTTTCTCGGTGTATTTACTAGGTGGGCCTGACTACCGCCTCTGTACCATCTAAGCCCATCTCACTGTACTCTTGAGTGTAACCATATTTTTAATCAAGGAATCTAGTGCCTGGTACCACTGTGTTACATCTCCTTTTCTCTTGCAGTGTATTTTCCCACCTATTTTCTTTTCCTTTCACTATATGTTTCCTGTGTCCTGAAATCTTTGTACCAGACTTTCATCTTACAGATTTTTTTTCCTATCATAACAGAAAAGGTGGTTCCTAAGTAAAAGATGCTTAAATTCTTGGAAAAGGGCCATATTTACTGTGCTTGGATTTTTGTATACTATCATTTAAAAATCAAAAGTTTACATCAGATTTTAAATATATTCTATATGCTTTGCTTTATTTTTGAAAAGAAATGTTTTGGAGCACCAAAAATAACAGTACTACTTTAATGAATTGGCAACATTTACTGTCTTGAAAATTTCTACGTTTTTAATAGGGAAAATATTACTGTATACAAAAGCAGGGGAAAAAAATACTACAATAAAGCCCTTTTCCTCGTTACTCAAGTTTCACAAATATCAATTCCAAGTCTAACTGGTTTCATTTATTTTCCCTCATACCTCTTCTGCCATTATTTTGAAATGAATCACAAATATATCATTTTACGTGTGACTATTCCAAAGATAAGTGTGCTTTTAGAAGACACAATCACCATATATCACAGCAAATAAAAATTAGCAATTTTTTAATATTCAAGTGTTTACTATGTTGGGATTTCCCTGGTTGTCTGTATCTTTCTCTCTTTATATTTTATAGTTCAAATTGGAATCTAAATGAGAGCCAGTCATTGCAGTTGGTTGATATGTCTCTTAAATCTCTTAATTTATAGGTCCTCCCTTCCCCCAGTGTATGTGTTAAAGAAGCTGAGTGTTTTCTCCTATGGGATATCCCATGGTCTAGATTTGACTGATGGAATCTTCACATATCATTATACTTGTTACATGTCCTTTGCAATTCTTCAGAAATAGTAGTTCAATCTGGAGGTTTGATCACATTCTAGTTTGGTGTCCTACTTCCTGCAGGAATACTTCATGATGGTGGTATAAACTTCTGCCAGGGGCATATATGTCTATCTTCTGATGATATTAATAATAATTAGCAGCCACTGTTTGCTGCCCTTTTTTTTTTTTGGAGACAGAGTCTAGCTCTGTCACTTTGGATATAGTCCAGTGGTATCATCATAGCTCATTGTAACCTCAAACTTCTGGGCTCAAGTGATCCTTCTGCCTCAGCCTCCCAAGTAACTGGGACTACAGGTGTGCACTGCCACACCCAGCTAATTTTTCTATTTCTAGTAGAGATGGGGTCTTGCTCTTGCTCAGGCTGGTCTCAAACTCCTGAGCTCAAGCAATCCTCCTGCCTCTGTGTGCTACGATTACAGGAGTGAGACACTGCGCCTGGCCCTGGTTGCTCCTTAGGTACATTATTTTATTAGGGATTTCAAAATAGTGATATTCTATCATTCCTTCATTCATTTGCTGAATAAATGCAGCTTCTCCCTTATCAACCATTTGGATCCCCAAATCACATAGGAAATCACATATATATATTTAGATATCCAATTAATTTCTTTCTATTTATAGTAAAGACGGAGTCTCACTCTTGGTCAGGCTGATCTCGAACTCCTGACCTTGAGCAATCCACCCACCTTGGCCTCCCAGAGTGCTAGGATTATAGGCGTGAGCCACCGTGCCTGGCCTAATATTTGTTCTTTTTTTGATGTTGACCGTGACTTGTATTGCTATTGACTGTCTTTAGTGTAACATTAATCTAATAGGATAGTTCACCTCATGTTTTAGCAAATATCCTTAAGTGAGGTTTTATTATTTGCCTGTGTCTTCTTTGTAAACTTGTTATACTGGAAATGTATATGTGTTTTCCTTCTTTATCAAGTAGCTATTATCTCCTAAGACATTTTCTGTTTTTTGGTTTTTTTTTTATTCACATGTGTCCATTTCTGTTTCACTCTTTGGATCATGCTGGCATTGGTTTACTTTGATGCTGTTTGCTACTCCCTAAATAGAGATTAAGCAATCTATTGTGAAATCTTCAATGGCAAAATGATCCTGACACGTGGTATATGTGGCCAGTTTATATGACTCATGGTTTTGCTGTTCTTTTTCTGCTGTCCAAAAGAGGCTCAGTAAACCATTGCATCTGTTCTGAAGGACTGCTAATCAAAACAGCTTTTTATAATATACACATTGATTGTGGTGTTTCCATCCCTTTCTTACAGGCCAAACTTCCAGATTTGCAACCATTTCCTTCTCCAGATGGTGATACAGTGACCCAACATGAGGAACTGGTCTGGATGCCTGGAGTTAATGACTGTGACCTCCTTATGTACCTGAGGGCAGCAAGGTAATAGGAATCCGCCCCATCCTGCTCTTCAGATTAGGCCATCTGAATTGATTAGTAGGCAGTAAACTTTCTCCTTTTTCCCTGAGATTTTATATATATATATCTTGTGCGTTCTCTAACTTTAAGTTTTGTTACACCCTCTGTAATCAGGGCCCTGATCCTTATTGCCAGAGAAAAGTAGTTTATCATGGTAAAGTCATTTTTTTTCCTTCTTGTAAGCCGCACATGCAATTATCAATACCTCTCAGTCCAGTTGAGTTAATTTGAGTCATTAAGCCCATCTTAAATTCTATTACAGATTTTATGTTATCTCTGTACTTCATGGCTGTCCATTAGTGTCTAAACTGAACTTGACATTTTTGTGACTTACCTACATTAGTACATTTACCTGTGATTATCCCATAGAATTTGCTAATATTCAAATGCCTGAGATGCAAGATAGAAGTTTAAATTCATTCCTCTCGTGTGTTAGAGCAGACAGGAAGCCTTCCTTTGTCTTCAGTGATTTCTGGGATTCACTGCAGCATCAACAGTGTGCAACAGGAAAAACATGAAAGCAAGGGTCAAGGCATCTGAATTTTAGCTGTGGCTATTTTCTAGTGAGCAGTGCTCTGTATGGTGATGTACAGTAGAGATGAGAATGCTTAGGTGGAGTCAGTGACTACTAAGAGGTTTTTATCTCTGATTTTTCACTTTTAATTCAGCTAAAGGTAGTTTATTCTATAGAATGAGAGGAAATAAAGTTGCAGAGAACCTAATTTCACACAGTTTTGGGGAGACTTTTCTTTCAAAAGATTGTAATCTAGCGCAGAATATTGTGGCAAATGGATTTAGATTGTTCATACCCTAAAATCTAAAATCTTAGTACTAATACAGCATGGAAGAAATAACATAAATGAACCCAATTAAATGTAACATTTTTCTGAGTGAGTTAAGGGTTACCAGTAGAGGAATTTTTAAAAAAGGATTTTTTTTTTTAAAACAAGATCACAGGCAGGACTGAGAACTCTGGTTTATCATGCATGGTAGTAATGGCATTTGGTCTAGGCTGAAAATGTACTCTGAAAATTGAGGGTCAAAATCTCTGTACTGATGAAGGCAAAACACTTCCTTTCCTCCGAAGGAGCATGGCGGCATTTGCAGGCATGTGTGATGGAGGCTCCACAGAAGATGGCTGCGTCGCAGCCTCTCGGGATGACACGACTCTCAATGCGCTGAACACAGTAAGTCTCTGGAAGTCATCCCGGGTGGGAAGACAGTTCTTTTTTCCTGGACTGGCTGCAGGGAATGTGCGATGAGCATGGAGCATGAAGTAGCCTGCAGTCTCAAGAGTGAGCACTGTGGTGTGGTGCCGGGATCTAAAGATGAGTTGTGATCTTGGCCATTGTGTGTGTAATGTCAGGCCAGGGATGTGGCACCTCCAGGGTCATTTCCTAATATGTCTTTGCTGCAGGATTGTAGTGAACCTCAAATGAGATCCTAATAGCAGTGGTTGATACTTACAGGGGTCTTACAAGCTGAGTACTATGCATAGATGATCTCATTTAATCCTCCCAATACCTGTCTAAAGTAGGTTCTATTATTTTCACCTTTTTAGACATGAAGAAATAAATTTAGATCAAGTCACAATCCAAGGTCATACACTCAAGATTGGAATCCAGAGCTATGCTTTTAACGTTTACTGTGTTTGAGACCATGCGTTTCAGAGTGCATAGAGGGACAGAGAAGAAGCTAGGCTATTTGGAGATAAACTTGTTTTTTATAGAATTTATCTTGGAACCATGTTAATATTTCATATGATTATAAAATAAAAATTAAGTTTTAAAAATAACTATTTCTTAAAAATCCAGACTAAAATGAAGCAAATGAGCCTAATGTTACTGAGTTGGTTACGTGGCATACCACCATAATTACTCATTTGCTTTAATCCCGTATTATACACATAGCAGCTCAGAATAACGGCACACTACTACAAACAATATGATTACTGAAACCAATTTACTTGGGGGGGGGCACTTTATTTAGCCTTAGGCTATATACTATTGGACTGTATAGGCAAAGTAATGTATTTTAAAGTTACATGAAATAATTTCTCTCTGTTTGGTTACTAATGTGAAATCATCAAATCTGAAGAAGTAATAATGAATATTTATAGAATCAATTTCTGATATATTGAGTCTTCATGTTTATGTATGTTTGCATAGGATACTGAGCCTGAGGCCAAGCAACTCTTCTAATGATTAAGTAAATGTCATTTAAGACCCTCCCCCCACTCACCTTTTTTTTTCCTTTCTTTCTTTTCTTCTTGAGAGGTCACTATAGTTGGAAGGAAGGGACTTTCATGATCATCTGTTCCAGTCTCTAAATAGATAAAAAACGAAAGGCTTAAAAAGGCCAGACGACTTCACTGCTGACAATCCCAAAAGCTCCTAAGAGAGGAAAGAAAATAATCCTCATTCCTGATTTAGGGATCTTTTTACTACATAGTTTCTACTACCCAGCTTGTTTTCGAGTAAACATAGATATCTGACGATATGGTTGATTTCTATTCTTGTCTAATTTGGTTTCTTGAATATCATACAGTATTTGAGTGACTTTGCTGGGGGTATGCTGTGCTCCAAATAACTGAATGTTTTTTCATATTACCATAGAGCATATTTGTGTACTTTCTGAGTGATTGATAGTGTTTTGTTTTGTTTTTAAATAAGAAATCTTTATTCTGAACATACAATGATTGAGCCAAAACAGACCCTTGAAATTATTTTACAGGTGAGGAAGCTAAGACTCGGAGATTGGTGATATTGCAAACAGTGGCTTTGGTACATTAGGTGTGAATGTCTGTGAATTTAGAGTACCTTAAAAGTGTGTGTACATTCAAAGAAATTCTTTGATGGGGACTTTTTTCTGCTCAGTTTTTTGTATAAAAGCTTTATTTTAAAAAATTCTGCTTTCATGACTGTTAATCAGTTGAATTTCAAATAATGAAAATTTCCCCGTATTTAATTAAATGTCTATTTTTGGCACTTTCCTGAATTTATATGATATATTCACTTTATTATTCCAAATCCTCTAAGAATTCTGTAGAACATGCTTCTGTACAGAAATAATTTCAACTATTTTTTTCACAGTTCTTTGTGACAAGTTCTTTCTGGAGGTTTTGTTAGCATTCCCAGAGGGTTTTGGTTTTATGATTTTTTGTTTCCATGACATTGCCTTTCCATCACTTGAAATTCTTCCTGTCTATACTGGCCCATGATGGTTCAGGTGTCTTGAGTTATGTAATACAGGTACATTTAGCTACCAAAGTACTGCACACTATGTGATTATTTTGTGATGAGTAGAAAGTTTAGTGCTGTTTTAATTTTTGTACTTCATTGTTGTATTAACTTACAGAGAGTTTTAGTTGTAGCCCCTTAATGAAAAGTAAAGTGAATGAAAAAAGCTTGAGAGAAGTTACTGTTTATTTTGACTTCCCTGGAGTAATAGAAGACTTGAGCTCTGTTAAGTAATAAATTAAGTAATAAATTACATTGTTGTGTGAGAAGTATTTATTGTTTTCTTAGAGTATAGCACTATCAATTTAGAATAAACCTGTGAGTGGGAGCCCGGTGCAGTGGTGTGTGCCTGTAGTTCCAGCTACTTTGGAGAAGACTGAGGCTGGAGGATCACTTGAGCATGGGCGTCTGAGTCCAGCCTGGGCAACACAGTGAGACCTCATCTCTATAAAAACAAACAAACAACCTGTGAGTGATTAGTGAGTATTTCCTACTACCCAGCGCAATAGAAATTTAAAATATATGAAATCTGTATGGCCACCTCAGAGTGTGTTGAACATCCCAGTAGGACTATTTAAGTATAAGTGCATTTAAATAAATAGTTTAATTTATTAAACTATTTTAATAAATAGTTTAATTTTTAAAACTGTAGTTATTAATAGAAAATTTTTGAACTCTCAGTTCATTATGACAGTTATATATGGACCTACATTCATTCATTCATTTATTTATATTTTTTATTTTTTGAGACAGAGTCTCTCTCTGTTGCCTGGGCTAGAGTGTTGTGGCGGCAGCCTAGCTCACAGCAACCTCAAACTCCCAGGCTCAAGCAATCCTTCTGCCTCAGCCTCCCGAGTAGTTGGGACTACAGGCATGCACCACCGTGCCTGACTAATTTTTTCTATATGTATTTTTAGTTGTCTAATTAATTTCTTTCTATTTTGTAGAAACGGGGTCTTGCTCTTGCTCAGGCTGGTCCTGAACTCCTAACCTTGAGCGATCCACCCGCCTTGGCCTCCCAGAGTGCTAGCTAGGATTATAGGCATGAGCCACCTTGTCCAGCCTTTGGACCTGTATTTAAATGGAAACTCTTGGATTACTTATTTTAACTTTTTTTCTTAATTTTTCATAAATGAGATTTTTAGTGTGTAATTTTTAGAACAACTTGCAAAATTTATGTATAATAAACTGTTCTGATTTAAAGCCTATAATTTGGTGAGTCTTCTTAGTGAATACATTTAATGAAACTACTATGAGGGTCAAGATACAAAACATTTCCAGTACCCCCAAAAGTTGCCTCATGCCCTTTTATAATCCTTTTCTGTTTCTAATCTCAGATGACCACTGATATGTTTTGTTATTTTAGAGTAGTTTGTGTTTCCTAGAATGTTGTATAAATGGAGTCATATAGTATATAATCCTTTGGGTTTGTCTTCCTTCAGCATTATGATTTTGATATGCATTTATGTTGTTTCATGTGTCAGTAGTTCATTCCTTTTTACTAGTATCATAGTGGACATACATATTCAGCAATTTTGTATCCTTGTACCTGGTGATGGCCATTTTGGCAGTTTCCAAGCTTTGGGCCATTATAAATATAGGTGTTATCAACGTTGTACAAGTCTTTGTGTGGACATATATTTTCAGTTTTTTGAGTAAATACCTAGGAGTGGAGTGGCAGGATTACATGTATATAGGAAACTTTGCAAAAAACGGTGAAACAGGTTTCTAGAATGGTTGTACTGTTTTATATTCCCATCAATAGTGTGTTAGAATTTCTGTTCTTCAGCATCCTTACCAAGACTTGTTGGTATTGTTGGTAAATGGGTATTAGTGATATTTCATTGATGTTTTCATTTGAATTTTCTCATTGTTAAAACTATTGAGCATCTTTTCATGTCTATATTGCCCATTTGTATATCTTTTTTTATATAGCATCTTTTCAGATCTTTTGCCTATTTTTAAAAATCATTTTGTTTGTCTTTTATAATTTAGTTATTAAGAGTTCTTTTTATATTTTAGGGAGAATTCCTTTTTGTAGTTGTTAAAGATTCAGGGTCTCTCTTTGCTGCCCAGAGTGGCTTGCAGTGATGTGATCATAGCACATTGCAACCTCAAATTCCTGGGCTCAATGTATCCACCTGCCTCAGCTTCCTGAGTAGCTGGGACTATAGGCACATGCTATCATGAGTTTATTTTTAAATTTTTTTTTAGAGATAGAGTCTCGCTGTGTTGCCCAGGCTGGTCTTAAACTTCTGGCCTCAAGTGATCCTCCCACCGCAGCCTCCCAAAGTGCTAGAATTACAGATGTGAGGCCCTGTGCCTGACCTTAGATAGAATTTCTTTGATCTATGTTTTGTGAATGATATCTTCCATGACTTTTTTCCTTAATTATGTCTTTAATATTTAATTTTGCCAAAGTGTAATTAATCACTATTTTCCTTTCATGGAGGTATTTCTGTTTATTCCAGGATTACAAAGATTATATCTTAGCTTTCTTCTAGAAGTTTTGGTTCCTACACTTAGGTCTGTGATTCATTTTGAATTAGTTTTATATGTGACACAAGTTAGGGAGGGAACGTTGATTTTTTTTTTTTCCCCACACAGATACCAGTTGTTGGAGCATCATTAATAAAGACTTTACTTTTCTCATTCAACTGCCTAAACACCTTTGTTGACAATGAGTTGTATGTGTTTGGGTCTTTTTTTGGAATCTGTTCTGTTTCATTGATCTAATGTCTATCTTTATCATGACCTCAATGTTTTGAATACTGTAGCTGTATAGGAAGTCTTGACTTTGGGTAGTAGTATAAGTCTTCCTGCTTTATAGCTGTTTTTTAAAGATTGCTTTAGTTTTAGGTCATTTGTATTTCCATATAAATTTTGGAATCAGTTTGCCAATTTCTAATTTTTAAAAAGTCTGATGAAATTTTAATTGGGATTGCATT